ACACACACACACACACACACACACACACACACAGCAACACCCCAAGCCCAGAGAGAGCCTGTTGTCACACACACACACACACACACACACAGAGCAACACCCCAAGCCCAGAGAGAGCCTGCTGATACACACACACACCCAGCTCAGAGAGAGGTTGTCACACACACAGCAACACTCCCTAAGCCTAGAGAGAGTCTGTCACACACACACAGAAACACCCCCAGACCAGAGGGAGAGTCTGTCTCACACACACAGCAACACCCCCAGACCAGAGAGAGACAGACACAGCAACACCCCTCCTTCTCCCAGCCCAGAGAGAGGTTGTCACACACAGAGCAACACCTCCCCCAACCCAGAGAGAGTCTGTCTTTCAAACACAGGAACACCCCTCTAGCCCAGAGAGAGTCTGTCACATGCACAGCAACACCCCCCAGCCCAGCGGGAGGCCACACACAGAGGAACACTCCTCCAGTCCAGAGAGAGACTGTCTCACACACACAGCAACACCCTTCAGCCCAGAGGAAGAGAGACTGTCACACACACAACACCCTTAACTCTCAGAGAGAGCACGTGATGAACACACACAACAACACGCACCCCTTCACAGAGGGAGAGACTGTGTCACACAAACAGCAACACCCCCTACAACTCAGCCCAGAGAGAGGGGAGAGACTGCAACACAGGTCATTACCCCCAACTCACCGCAGAGAGAGAGACCTTCTCATGCGCACAGCAGCACTTCCCACCCCAGAGAGAGGGGCGAGACTGACACCGACACACCTAACACTTCCCACCCAACCCTCCCCGGAGAGAGGGGAGAGACTGATACACACAGCAACACCCCCCCAATCCACTTCAGATAGAGGAGAGAGACTGTGACACACACACAGCAATAGCCTGCACTCTATCCCGGAGAGAGTAACATTCTTCACCCTAGCCCGTATCATTCTTGAAGTTGAGGGTTGCGGCACGGATGACAATTGGGGAGACAAAGGGGTGTGTGTGTGTATGTATATATGTGTACACACACACACACACACACTCTCTCTCTCCATCCCAAGAGAGGAGAGACATTTCTTCCCTTCCCAGTCCAATCTTATCCCCAGAGTAACTCTCAACACAGAAAACAGCAAAGTTCTCTTCCCACCCCTTGAGATTGAAGAGACTAATATGCGCATAGCAAATTTGTTCTTATTTCCATATTGGGGCAGGAGGGTGGAGGCTAACCTTACTCACATACAGCAAAACTTTTTTCTGTAAATGGAAGACTATAAAAACTATTTAAAACTTTGTGTTTAGATAAGGGAATCTCACTCTCCCTGCAAATTAGAGAGTTCTCTTTTAATTATAGTTCAGTTAATGGATGCCTGTCACTTTCCCAAATTCAGAAGTTTAATAGGTTACAGACACTAGTAGAATTAACCCTCTAGTAGGAACTTGAAACTGGAAATTGTCTGTTATCCGTCATCTTGTCTGATGCATTTATCACATTATTTCATGCCAAAAAAATAGCGTATGTCTTGTCTTTTGAAAGGCAGTTGATATTGCATTCCATCTACTTTATATACCTCTGGAATGCCATGAAAGACCATGTACTTTTGAGTTAGGTAACTTAATATGTAGGTGACTGGATGACATTCAGAGGAATGATAATGGTGGCATTAGGAAACTACTGCCTGTCATGCTGACCACTATTATGTCACTGTTTCCTTGTACCTTTCCATCTGTTTGTATCCATATATTGTCTCTTGTCTTGTACTTAGACTGTAAGCTCTTTGAGGAAGGGTCAATCTTTTTGTTCTCCATTTTTACAGTGGCCTTTTACAGTGAGGTCCTGATCCTTGGCTGGGGGCTCAGAGGTGCTATGGTAATACAACTAATAATAGATTACAGCTTTAATTTTTAAATCTGATCTACTTTATTATTGATTAATAACTGGCATCTAACAGATGTTTGGTGGGCTATGAGTTGGATTAGTCCAGTGCATATCATAGACATTACATCACAGTGGCTCTAAGTAACATTTTGTTGGCAGTCTGAGTAGAAAGGTCAAGCATTAACCAAATGTCTGTGCTCAGTTATCTAATTCTTAGGGGGGATCCTAGCAGAAAAAGGATTGAAGCTTGTTGGCAATGATGTAAGTAATTGCATTGCTAATGCCCATACTAAACCTGTATGTGGATAACTAGAGAATTCCAGTATTCAGGCTGCTGATCTAATTTATTTCTGAAACACTAACTTTTAAAAAATAGCTTAGCACAGATAGTAAATTGCTAATATTGTCACTGAAATACGAGAAAAGCTCTACACTAAAATAGTTTTTATTATAAACCTACTGAAATAGGTATTTTTTATTTAAAACCAAAACTACATTAGCCTATAGTGGATGCTTTCTTCAATGAAATTAATAACTAACTTATTTTAGTTGTGAAGGTAGATAAACTCTGCTGTTACAAATTATAGCTTAGAATAACTTCTAATTTTGCATAATGTATTCCAAAGGTGTATGTATTGTTAATATTCTTTTTTTCTTTAAGATGCTTCATGCTGAATGTAAAGTAAGGCCTTTGGAATGTCAAGATGAAATGACAATTGAACCGTGTTCTAAAAAAATTAAATCAACAGAAGAAGCTCATGATAAATCCTGTGATGATGGTTTCCAGGGATCTCTTATGAAAACAGACAATGAGAGAATAAACAAAGAATGGATACCTTTATACATCTCCAATGACCAAGGAAAACAGGAAGTGCAGCAGAAAGAGAATGAAAATACAGATGTCTTGGAAACATTCAATGAAGAATTCCCTGGTAATAGGCCAGGGATTATTGAGTCTGCTCATTCAACGATCATGCAGAGTGTAAATCTTCCAATAAAAGACACTGAGGTTACAGAAAATAAATGCCCATTCATTACTGAAAAAGTTGATGAAGCTAATATTAAAGAAACTAGCAATAAATCATTCACAGTAAATGGAGATGAAGTAGAGGCTGAAGAACATGGTACAAGCAAAGTATTTATTGGGCCCGTTTACAGACCTGTGGAGGAGAACAAACAGGATGAAACCAGGAATTTTACTAAATTTAGCACAGGCAAAGAGAAACAAAATGTTGTACTTTACCACAAAAATGACAAAGAAGCAGCAAATAAAATACAGACTCTCTCTTGTGATGTATCAGAAATAGATGATGAATTGTGCCAATTTTATAAAGAAATTCAGCAGCTTGAAAGCGATAAAGATGAGTTAGAAGGTCACTTACAGGAAAAAGAAACCGAATCATCTCAGGAACGATTTATATCATGTAATAAATATAGTCAGTCATCTCACGAGGGTGAACAAGATACCTGTTACAGTAGAACACAATCATATTATGACCATGAACAATGTTTCTATAATGAACCAAGTGGCCAGAAGACAGGCAGTGAACCAAAATGTTTTGACAACGAAGGAAATGGCTGGAGAAGTGAGAATCATTTTAATTGGCAAGCGGATTCTAAATTCTGGAACCATTCAGTCCCTCAGTTTAGGCCGGCATGGCAGCCAACACAATCTTTCATAATACCTCAGGGACCACTTCCTCCTAGGTTCAACCATTTAGATGTTCAAACTCTTAATTCCACACCACATCAACCAAATACTCTTCATCCTCAGAATGATGGACTTCCTCACAAGAATTATGCAGGTTACCATGGAAATAGTGGCAGTACTAACAGGAGCTGTCCATTGTTTGATCAGAATAATAGTTATGCTGGTCATATTGGTATCCATAGTATGCAAGTCTCCAGAAATGGATATAGCGACCAGGATGGATGCAAGAATAATGGTTTCTGTGAAACCAGAGAAGAGTGTTGGAAAGATCCTAGAACTTACCAGAAAGAGGGAATACACAATTTTAATTTTCAGCAGTTTTCAGAAGACAAGTTATGTAGGTCGCAGAAATTACTTCTAATTTTAAGAGGTCTGCCTGGCTCAGGAAAAACAACACTGTCTCAGTAAGTATATGTTGAAAATAATTAAAAAAAAAAGTCTGCTAGATTGTTCTTGTTTTAGGTCCTGATCCTGTAAAGTTTTACACAAGTAGTATTCTTGAAGTCAGTGGGACTACTCATATGTATAAGTCTTTGCAGAATTGAGGTCCTAATTGTTACATAGTGAAGGGGTATAGTAGTGAATATTGGAAATATTAGTCACTTCATTGTTAGCTGTTCTTTTGGTCTTTTTCAGTAAGAATGCTGATGATCACAGAAAGCTGTTTTATATTTTAAAAATATTGTTTTCTTCTATCCAGTGACTCATATATTCTTCCATGCTGACTTCTGAAACTCCAAATGCTTCTAATGTGAAAGTTAGCCACGCTCTGGTCTTTCAGATTCCTTTCTTAAAATGTCTTCTTCCAAGACTACTAATATTAATTCATCTAAATTAGAAGTGCTCTTATATGCCATTAAAATAAACTTTAATGGGACATTATCAACTTGAAAAATCTCATATGAATGTTTTACATTTTCTATTATTATTTAATTTTACAAATAACACTTAAGATTATTAGAAGCGAAAGAGACACGAGAGAGAGAGAGAGAGAGTGCCTCTTGTTTTTGGTGTGTTTCATTTGTGCATAATTAATTTAATAAAACTTTGTTTATAGTCACTTCCACTGTTTTTCCAGTGTAGTCAGTCAGTTTCCACATTTGTTGGTGAAGGCCTTTCCCACAACAAAAGGGGATAGAAAAGTTTTTTAAAGGAAGGTATGCTAGTTAAACTATAGAAATTCTCAGGGACTCAAGTCTGGTAGGAACTGACACCACTTTTAATTTTTTTTAAATTATTTTAATTGACTAGTTTTCAAGTTCATAGTGTCTTACAACATTCTATGACAATGTGCCTGTCATCACGGAGCATAGTTTATGTATCTGTCACATCTAAAAACCCTACATTAAGAGAACTTTGAATCAGTAGTTTCACTCAATTTAATAAAATCACCAGAAACAACACTTCCTGGATGATTTAAAGGAGCTTACCCAGTTAAGTAGAGAGATCTGATGATCATATTACATATGAGCATATTATTTCTCGGAACAAAAAAAAGCGCACTGTTGTAATAATTAGTTTTTGTGTTTGATTTGTAAAGCTGCTAAAACGTCCTTAAAAAAGAAAAAGAAAGTTATTAAAGGGGGGAAAAAAACAATATTGAGCATGCTAAGTCAAGCACTGAAAAGTTAGGAAATGCCAGAATTAAGTTTGTCTTAATTTGAGCCCCCTTGTGCATATACATTATGATATGGTCTTTATTTATGTGATGAAATATTGTTTTTTCCACAGGACCTTTCCTTATTCAGGGCATAGACTAGACCAGGGGTCGGCAACGTTTGGCACGCGGCTCGCCAGGGTAAGCACCCTGGCGGGCCGGGCCAGTTTGTTTACCTGCTGACGCAGCAAGTTCAGCCGATCGTGGCCCGCACTGGCCGCGGTTTGCCGTCCCGGGCCAATGGGGGCGGCGGGAAGCCGCGGCCAGCACATCCCTTGCCC